GACCTCAGGGACTTTGGGGGCCCATCCTCAGGAGCCCTCCACCCCCAGCCATTGTCAATAAAGCTTCTACATTTGGAACAGGTGGGTTGTCTCTGTTCACGCATTCATTCAATCACCCATTCCTACTGAAACCTGCCCTAAGCTGGGCCCGGCTGACCTCCAGATAAGCCCCTGCCCCTGGCTGGAAGAGCCCCTGCAGTAATATGCAGCACACAGGCCAGGATGGACGACTCTATGTGCTGAGTGCTGTGGGAGCCCACTACAGGGAAGGCTCCTCCTGCCGGGGGGGATGTCTGGGAAGACTTCGTGGAAGGGGCATCTGAACCAGTCTGCAGATCAGTAACTTGGACAAAACCGAAGGAACAAAACAGCAGCAAACTCACAGACCCCACGAAGGGGACTAGTGGTTACCAAAGGAAAGGGGTTGGGGAGTGGGGAGGGAGGGAGAAGGGGATTAAGGGGCATTCTAATTAGCACTCACAGTATAGGTGGGTCACAGGGAAGGTAGTACAGCATGGAAAAGACAAGTAATCACTCTACAGCATCTTACTACGCGGATGGGCAGTGAACACAGTGGGGTCGGGGTGGGGGGACTTGATAATATGGGTGAATGTTGAAACCACAATGTTGCTCATGTGAAACCTTCATAAGATTGCATATCAATGATAGCTTAATTTAAAAAAAATTAGGACCTTGGAAACACCTGATGTCCATCTGCAGACCAAGGATCTGAGAGGACATGTTTGAGTAACCTCCAGGCAGAGTACACTGAGCAGGAGTTCGGGAGTTAAGGGGCGGTGGGGACTCAGGAGTGCGGTGGCAGGCACAGGGGACCTGACCTCAGACATCACCCTGGCTGCCAGGGGAGGCGAGCTGGGAGGGGCCAGACTGAGGCAGGAAGACCTGCGCAAAGGCTGCTGGGAGCATCGTGGCTAGAGGTGGGTGCTTGGGCCAGAGCAGGGGCAGGATGGGGGAGGTGGATGACTCGGACCCTGGGTCACAGGCTGCGTCTCCATGAAGTGCTCTCAGGGTGGGAGATGCAACATCCAGGGGTGAGCCTGGCCTCTAGAAACCAGCCATCTTGCAAATGTTTAGAGCCCTTGAGATGGAGCTGTATCTGAGGCTGCCCCATGTAGTGGGTAGGGAACTGAGCCCAAGCGGCAGAAACCATCCCCCTGCTCCCAGGAGCCCCAAGGACAGGCTTATGAGCACAGGCACTAGTGTTGGTCCCCTAGCTTGGAACTGGCTACTGCCAGCTACTGGCTGGGGGACCCTGGCAGGCCACATGGCCACCCCGGGCATCTGAAAAATGGTTGTGAGGAATCCAGGAGATCAACAGAAGGGCTTGGCAGGTCAGAAGTACTCAGCAAATGCCAGTTGTTCTTATGAATTTGTGCCCCCATTTTAGAGGTCAGTAAGCTAAGGCTCAGAAATGCCTTGCCCAAGGTCACCCAGCTAGGAAGTGTCAGAGCCCAGGCTGGATCCCTGCTTGGGCTGGGGTCATGGTCCAGAGCTCAAGCCTCCTTTCCCCACATGAACCCCTGTCCCCTCAGCACTGTGCTTTCCTCTCCTGTCTTCTAGGATGTGTGTGGGCCGTTGGAGAAGCAGCATGAAGAGGAAAGAAAGAAGGAAGATGTGGGGTCCTAGGAGGACACAGCATTGGGTCAGGACCTCAGGGACTTTGGGGGCCCATCCTCAGGAGCCCTCCACCCCCAGCCATTGTCAATAAAGCTTCTACATTTGGAACAGGTGGGTTGTCTCTGTTCACGCATTCATTCAATCACCCATTCCTACTGAAACCTGCCCTAAGCTGGGCCCGGCTGACCTCCAGATAAGCCCCTGCCCCTGGCTGGAAGAGCCCCTGCAGTAATATGCAGCACACAGGCCAGGATGGACGACTCTATGTGCTGAGTGCTGTGGGAGCCCACTACAGGGAAGGCTCCTCCTGCCGGGGGGGATGTCTGGGAAGACTTCGTGGAAGGGGCATCTGAACCAGTCTGCAGATCAGTAACTTGGACAAAACCGAAGGAACAAAACAGCAGCAAACTCACAGACCCCACGAAGGGGACTAGTGGTTACCAAAGGAAAGGGGTTGGGGAGTGGGGAGGGAGGGAGAAGGGGATTAAGGGGCATTCTAATTAGCACTCACAGTATAGGTGGGTCACAGGGAAGGTAGTACAGCATGGAAAAGACAAGTAATCACTCTACAGCATCTTACTACGCGGATGGGCAGTGAACACAGTGGGGTCGGGGTGGGGGGACTTGATAATATGGGTGAATGTTGAAACCACAATGTTGCTCATGTGAAACCTTCATAAGATTGCATATCAATGATAGCTTAATTTAAAAAAAATTAGGACCTTGGAAACACCTGATGTCCATCTGCAGACCAAGGATCTGAGAGGACATGTTTGAGTAACCTCCAGGCAGAGTACACTGAGCAGGAGTTCGGGAGTTAAGGGGCGGTGGGGACTCAGGAGTGCGGTGGCAGGCACAGGGGACCTGACCTCAGACATCACCCTGGCTGCCAGGGGAGGCGAGCTGGGAGGGGCCAGACTGAGGCAGGAAGACCTGCGCAAAGGCTGCTGGGAGCATCGTGGCTAGAGGTGGGTGCTTGGGCCAGAGCAGGGGCAGGATGGGGGAGGTGGATGACTCGGACCCTGGGTCACAGGCTGCGTCTCCATGAAGTGCTCTCAGGGTGGGAGATGCAACATCCAGGGGTGAGCCTGGCCTCTAGAAACCAGCCATCTTGCAAATGTTTAGAGCCCTTGAGATGGAGCTGTATCTGAGGCTGCCCCATGTAGTGGGTAGGGAACTGAGCCCCTGAAGAGAGGAATCCAGCAAGGTGAGCCAGCCTCCATCCAGACCTGAGCACTTTGTAATTTACGGTCTTGTAAGGGACGCAGCGTCACTCAGGTGGCAGTAAAGTTGGGGCTGAATTGTTCAGGCAGTTCCAAGGGTGAGTGGCCTGAGCCCTATGGAGTGTCAGGACCTTATCCCCACCACTGAAGCCAGCCCAGTGGCTCACATGCCAATGCTCTCCAAAGAGCCACAATCCACAGACCCAAGACTCCGGCATCCTTTGCTCAAAGTCGGAGCCACTGCTGTGTCTAAGGCACTAAGGCTGGGGACACTGCCCTGAGCCCTGATCTCGGGTTCTCCCCTTCTCATCTTGATATTCTTGGAACAGCCCCTTGGCGCCTAGAAGGGTGGGGACACAGAGGCTTAGAACCTACAAAAGATCTTCCCATCTCAGTGTCACTTTCTGTATGATGCCCTTGTCAACTCCGTTGAGAAGGATCAGCTGGAAAACCAAATAGAAATGTGTCCTGGTGGGCAGGGAGACGCGAAAGGAGAGGTAAGGATGATGGAAGGAAAAGCCAGGGAAGGAGCAGGAGGCGGAGAGAAAACCATGGAGGCTTCGGAAGAAAAGGGTAACAAAGAATATGGACTTTGGGAGCAGACCGCTGCAATTTCGGTAGAGAGTCCACTGGACCCTCAGGCTCCTCGTTAATAAAGTGTGGACACCGTGGGGCTGGAGGACGGGAGGGCAGCCTGCATGGAGCAAGCCATGCTGAGGACTGGCGTCTGGCAGGTGCTCCGTAAAAGGCAGCGGTTGTTGAGGTTTGCCACTAAAAGGAGAGCTGGGAAGGGAGTCGGGTTTTTGCTGACACCAGTTTGCTGTGTCTTGTAACACCTCTGGCCTTAGTTAAAAGGGGCTTGGCCACAGCCTCTCCCGGCAGGCCTCATCAGTCAAAAGCTTTATGGTTCTGAGATAGGCAAAGAGGGAAAGCGGAGACATACAAGCCAGCAAGGGAGGCAGGCAGAGTCTGGGAAGGTGCACCCAACAGGTTGTCTGGGGGAGGGCTTGGCTCAGAGTCAAGTCTTCCACCCCACAGACTTGACGTTAGGAACCACAGGTTGATGACACACACGATGATGTGCATGGCTTTGGGTTTGTTTGGGGTTTTTTTTTTTGGCTGCCCTTTTTTTAAAGATCAATATCCATTTCTTCTCCATTTGCTCTTATAATGAAAATAGATTTTTTAATGCCTCAAATATACACATCTCACTGATGCACACACATTCCAAAAAAGCTGAGGTATGCACTGCTACAGGGTTGGGGAGCAGGAGATGGCCTGGCCTCACGGCCATCGACTACAACCTGGCAGGTAGCTGGCCACTGGCTACCACCCTCGGGGTCCCAGGGAGAGAGCTGGGGGTCATTGGATGAGGTACTGAGAGGGACCAGGGTGGACAGCTTCCTGGACCCTCTCTGGGGTGTCTCCAGCCCAGCAGACCCATGGGAAAGGCCTCTCCAGCCAGAGAGAAGCTGGGCCAAAGTCATCCGGGAGCCCCAAATTCTAAGACAGCCCAGTGGTTCCGGAGTGCGCTGCTAACCCCAGTCACCTGGAGAAAGGTACTTAGCAATGGCCCTCCAAGATGCCAACTCCTGAGGCTGGCCACAGGTGAGTGGACGGGTTTGTGCCAGAGACCCTGGCCCTGTCCCTTCTTATACGGCCTCCTAAGGAGGATCTAAGAATTGGAAAACTTAGTTTAAAAAAGTATCTGCCCATCTGTATATAAAATACATATTATTAGCTGGAGGTGGACAAGTGCAGGACTAGGAGACGCCTAGAGATGGCACCTGCGCAGAAGGTGGCCTTGGGCTCAGCATCTCCTTCAAGGGCAGGTCTCCTGGGAAGTTACTGCTCTTGGCCAGGCCAATGCCCCTCTCGTTTTGAAAATACTGAGGCTGAGCAGGCAGAGCCTATGCTGGAGGGAGACCTCCTTGTGAGGGGTCTATGGGACCTGGGGGACAGCAGTGGGCCGCCAGCCCCCCTGCCCAACATCTGTCTCTGAGCTTCGAGTGAAAGTCAGAAGAGGCAGGAACCCCGCAGGCTGCGGGCCTGGCGCAGGTCGGCCGACAGGGAGCGGCTCATGTGCCGGGTGGTGGAGCGGACGCTCTCGGCGGCCTGCACAGCTCGGCTCAGGGCCTTGTTGAGCTCCTCCAGGCCTTCCAAGTCCAGCTGGAGGGAGTGCCGGTGCCTCCTGGCAGGCCGGGAGGCTGTGGGGGGCCACTCAGTGGCTGGCTGGGCTGAGGGGGTTGAGGTAGGTCCTGGGGGTGCATAGTACCTGAGGAGAGAGGTAAGTGTGTTCATTAACCATGGGAAGGGCTGGGTGCTGGGCACTGGCTTTGGAATCAACCCTGTTCCAGGCCCTAACTGGGCCACTGGCCCTTACACGCTAGGTCTCAGTTTCTTTACCTCTAAAATGGGAATAACAAACACCTGCTTTGAGGGACATGTTGACAGGAAGATAAATGGAATGCCTGACCCATAATAGGTGCTCAAAAATGGTTCATTCAATCTACCTGTTCATTTAACAGGTATTGACCACTGGTCTTACGACGGTGGCGAGCAACACAGACCTCCCTGCCCCCCGCCCCCGGTCTTCTTGTAGCTTCTAATCTGAAAGCCAGATCTCAGGGAGACTAGGATTACCCCAGGCTCTGTAGCCAACTCCCCTCATCCGAGGGGCAATATAAGGGAGTCCCATTCACCAATGTGGAGAGAAACATGATACTAATACTTAGGATTGTGGAGCAGTGGGAGGGTCTGGTTCAAGCCTGGTCACACAGGAATGTGGGGTGTGTGTTAATGGGATGATGAACCATGAGATGCAGCATGGATTTCCCCAAGAAGTCACTACTGTATACATTCAAGGCCACCAAGTTTAGGGCTCAATGAAGCAGCAATCGGCGAGAAGAGGGTGTGGTCCTCTTCTGTGTTGTGGAATAAAGTGTGTGTGGGAAAGAGGGATAGACAAGTATTTCACCCAAATAAAACAGGGACAAGATTAGGAGAACTTGGCCAGAGTCATTCATTAGCACCTTGCTTGGCACACTGTAAACAGGGCTTATTCTGGATCCTCCAGTTTCTATCTTGCATGATTATACAGTATGAAAGAAGAGCTTTGCTATGATCAGAATAGAGATCTCTCCAAAAGAGATACAGATGGCCAACAGGCATGTGAGAAGATGCTCGCCATCCTTAGCTACCACATTGGATGCTACTTCACACACTTTGCCCCCACTGGGATGGCTAAACTCAAAAAGACAGTAAGTAATGAGTGCTGGTGAGGGTGGGGAGAAACTGGAATCTTCATATGCTGCTGCTGGGAATAGAAAATGGTGCAGTCACTTTGGAAAAACAGTCTAGCAATTCGCCAAACAGTAAAATATAGGGCCTATCCTGATGCTGGCATCCTCATCCTTGGTACCCACGTGTCAGGCTCTGAGGGAAGTGCTTCACCAGCTCCATCTTGTTTATTTGGTTGGTAGCGCATGCTTCTTTTACAGGTGAACAAAGCAAAGCCAGAGAAGCTAAGTGCCCCGAATCCTGGTCATCCCGCTGGGCGAGCTGCAGGACCCTGGCCAGGCCACTTCACCTTTCAAGGGCTCAGTTTCCCCACCTAAGACAGCCGTATTTAGCTACTTCCCAGGGTAGAAGCAATAGGAAAATTCAGCTCTGCATTCTGCTCTACAGACTGCCTGGCCTCTGTAAATGTCAGCTACTAGGGCCCAGAGCAGGAGAGCTGGAAGAGGCGGTGCTGGATTCACACCCCAAGCTAACTTGTACCCAGCAGATGCTGATACGTATCATCTGAATCAAAGAATTGGCTTCCTGAATCCAATTCCCTCCTTCACAGACTATCTGGTGTAACTGCTGGGTCCCCACAAACACCTACCTTCTGATGATCTGATGACCAGCTTGGCTTGAAAGTCATCCAAACTCCCATTAGGGCAGAAGCTACAAACCAACCATCCGAAAATCCCTCCCTTGGCTAGAAAGCCTCCTGCACAGGCACTGTAGGTCGGCTGACCAGCAGGTGGCAGCACAGGCCCACTCAGCTTCCCATGCGGCAGTGGCTGCTCGGTCCTGCTGACGGAGCTGGGGAGCTTTCGGGTGTCATCAGCGCAGACTCCAGTACCGTTAGAAGTCATGGTTTCTGGCCACCTTCTATGTACTATGGGCTTTCTCTTCATTAGCTCACTTAATCCTCACCACCATTCATTTCATCTGGAAAAACCAGGCCAGAGGAGCACAGTGACCCATCCACGGGGATGGCTGCCACCGGCCAGGTCTGTGGGCCACTAAAGCCCAGGGCCTTTCCTGGGCCACCAAACTCCAGGCAAAACTTTTCCTGCCCCATGAGGTGGAGCACAGGCAGGTTTCTACCACCTCCGCCAGAGGCCTGGAGGCTTGGGGGTCAGTCTGTTGTAGGTGCTGGAGGGGAAGGTTCCTCAGTGACCTGCTGGACTCAGCTGGGAGGGTGGCAAGAAACCACACCATAGGCCAGAGTCCTGTTCAGGGACTCGGGGGCCGGATGGGCCTTGAGCCTCCGCTCCCACCCAGTGCCAGCCTGGCAGTGGCTCTGGCCCCTCTCTGCCCACAGACATAGGTCTCTGACAGCGCCACTGATGGGGCCTCCCGACCGGCTCACTCGACAGCGAGCGAAACGGAGGCACAGAACACCTGGTGACAGTCGGGACAAGAAGACAGGTCACAGGTCCAGGATTTTCTTCCTTGCACAATCCTGTCGTGTCCAAGCCACTTGGGCTCATTTTTCTTCTTACTAGTGACACTACTGAACAGCATCACTACGCCCTGCGAGGCCGAAGCTGTTGTCTGTCCAGCAATGAGCACGTGCTGGCCCTGCACTGCACACCCCACAAACGTCTCAGGTGGCTCCTGCCACGGGCTCACTTGGTCCTCACACAACTGTACGTGACTGACACCATTACCCCACTTAACAGAGGCTCGGGGAGGAGGTGGGGTGGGAGTGAGGTGGGGAGTGGCTTCACCACGGCCAGAGCACTGATCGGTGGCAGACAGGATTCCAGGGCAGCTCTGACCCTAAAACCCAAACCACTCCTGCCTCAACTGCTATGTCTTTTCTGTCTTGACTGATGTTACATCCAAATCCATGTAGGATGCAAGTGCTTGTCCTTCCACAAGCCTGACCAGTGTCCCTCCACACCGTCAAGGCCATCCAAGAGGAGGAGGGTCTGGGAGCGGCACAGCCAGGAGCCTATGGAGATGGCTGATTCTACGGGCTATCCTGATGGGATCCCACGACAGTGAAGGACTGCGGGTAAACACCAAAGAAACCTAAATAAACTGTGGACTTTAGTTAATAAAAATATATCAATATTGGTTCACTAACTGTGCAGATGTATCCTATTAACATAAGATGTTGGTAACAGAGGAAGCTGTGTGGGGGTGGGGTGGTGGGAGGTATATGGGAACTCTACTCTCTACTCAATTTCTCTGTACATCTAAAACTGTTCAAAAAAATAAAGCCTGTTTTTAAAAAAAAATGTGAGTGTGTATTCCTTGCTTGCCAGAGAAGATCCACAAGGAAATGGAAGATGGTTAGGGTTCTAGACTCCCCATGAGGCTGTAAGCTCCTAGAGGGCAGGGCCCCCTACCAGGCTCCTTCACTGCGGGGCTCCTCCGGGCTGAGCACTCTCCCTGGTACACATGGGGAGCATCCAGGGTTTGTTGAATGACTACATGACTGTCAGCTTTGTTCTGTACCTTATACATGTGGGGGGAAAACATAGGTGTACATGGCACCTGGTTCTTAGCTGCCCAACACAGGCCTGAATGCCAATTAAGTGATTCCATAAGAATAGAAGGTTCTTACACAGTGGCTGATGGATAAGGCAGGACAGGAATCGAGGAGACGTAGGCAAAGGCAGGAGCAGCTGGTACTGAGGGCGCAGCAGCCAAATACCACAGTCCATGGGGTGGCCGGGGTGGAGACCCCCCGGGCTTGCTCCTCTGCTTGGGGCTTGAAGTTGAAGGTGCATTTCTCCTCGTGGTGGCCTTTTCTGGCCCTGCCAGGGAGGGAGACCAGAGAGCAACAGTGTGGCCACTTGGGAAGATCCAGCAGAGGACAGAGGGTCCATCCCGCCCCTGCCCTGGCACCGCAGGCCACAAACGTCTCATGTGGTTCTTGCTACAGGCCTCATTTAGTCTGTGTACAACTATCCATGATTGAGACTACTACCCCATTTAACAGATGGGGAAATTGAGGATCAGAGAGGATGCAGCTTTGCCAAGGTCAGAGCACTAATAAGTGGCAGGTAGGATTCCAGGGCAGCTCTGACCCTAAAACCTGAACCACTTCTGTCTCAACTGGCCACTGGCCTGGCCACACCAGAAGTGCCTAACTTTGGGAAAGAAGTCCTCTGCCAAGTTTGCTCCAGCCCAGAATGGGAGGGCAGCCATTCCCGCTACACCCGCCCGGGGCCCCAAACCCCCCATCAAGGAGAGCCAGGGGTCTTGCTGGGAGAAGAGACTGAGCATCTGTCCCTACCAGAGGCGGCTGAGTCCAGGCCATCCCCCTCTCGGGGGGACCCAACTTGACCACACAGAGGACATTGCAGGGAATCAGAGGGAGACAGTCCCAGCGGGTCCCCGGGCACAGCACCACCTGGAAGAGGAGGAAGTGATGTCAGGAGAGGATTATGTCTGAATCACTGATCTGTAGCTCCCCCCAGCAGGCCTCCTGCAGTGCTGAGCTTCCCTTGGGACAGGGCAGAGGGGATACACTGCCTCCACTGGGTGACAACGGGATTGGTGGCAACCATGGGCAGTGAAGTAAGCATTTAATGAGCCAGGTGCTGAGCTCAGGGCTGTCATGCATTATTGGGTCAAACCCAGCAGGCCACCGGATTCATCACTCCCCATGTTACAGTTTCCCGAGGCTCCAGGAGGCTGGACAATTTGCCAAGGTCGCAGAGCTAGGAAGCAGCGGTCCTCTGAGCCTGAGGGGCGGCTCTCCCAACTGCAGCCCCTGTGCCAATGGCTGTACCTCCACAGTGAGAAGGGCCCATTCTCCATGTGGAGTGGCCCACAATGGCCCCTGGACACCCGGGGGTCGGCGGAGGCCTAAGGGAACATGAGGAGAGTGGGCACCCTTCTTGTCCCATGAAAATCCTCAACACCACATCTGGGTGAATTCCAGGACCAGTCCACTTCTCCTACAGGCCGCAGCTCAGCCATCACTTCCTCTGGGGAGTCCTCCCACCCCAGGCTGAGTTAGGTCCTCCCCACAACCCCCGTGCTCCTCCATCCCAGCTCTGACCACTGTTTCATCAGTGTCTGATTGGCTGAGAATTCCTTGGGACAGGGACAGGCCCAGTAAGGGAAAATGCTGAATGACTGAATGACTGAATGAATGGATGGATGGAGAGGCCTGTTGGGACTCTGGCAAAGGTAGAACAAACTGGTGGTGAAGAGTTACAAAGACCTGGGTTCAAATCCTGGCTCTACCACTTGTAAGCTGTGGGCCCTTGGGCAAGTAACTTAACTTTTCTGAGCTTTAGTTTCCTCACCCACACACTGGGCAAAACCTATTTCATAGGGCTGTGAGGATTAATGCTTAAAATCCTTACCATGATGCCAGGTACACAGTAGGGGCTTCATAAACAACAGCTCTATCTTTATTATCATCATTGCGTGAAAGAGCCTCAGAGACCATCTTTAACCCTTCATTATGGATGTGGAGCCTGAGACTCGGAGCAGTTAAGCAACTTGCCTAATGTCACACAGCAGGTCAGTGGCAGAACTGGGACTAGAACCTGCTGTCCATATTCTCAGGCTACTGCTCTTTCCTGTTGGGTTTGGAAGGATGAGTGGATGGAGGAAGGAGGATAGATAAGACATAATCATTGCTGCCAGCCCCTCTGGGCCAGGCACCCCTCATCAGGAACTTATTAAATCATGTCCATGGTTTCTCCATGTCAAGGTCAAGGAGAGTGGCTTCTAGAGCAACAGGTGTGAGGGCAGGACACCTTGGGAAGGCTGAGAATCTCAGAACTGTTGCCTGGCTGGACCCTGACCCCACTGGGCTCAGGGTAGACCCATGTCTGGCCCACCTGCAGCCTCCCCTGAGAGCAGAAAGCAGCAGCCCCGTTGCCCTGGCCGATTCTCCAGTACCACCCCTTACCTGCGTGCTGGGTCCTAGCAGGTTGGCAGTGGGGACAGGAGACTGTGCTGCTGCCTCTTGGGACAGTCTTTGGGGTCAGAACACGGTAGTCTTGGCCTGGGGAAGAGACCAGAGCCAGTGTCAGCTCTCTGCCCAGAAGCAGAACTGGGTAGGATTTAGTATGATGATCTCTCTCCTCTTCCTACAATGGTTTTAATAGTTTCTCTCTCTCTCGTGAGCATGTGTGCATACACACACACAGTCACACACACAAAATATGTGCATAAATATGTACACATATAAGTGTTTATATATATATATATGTTATATATATATATATGTACACATACACAAAAACATTTATTTGTCTGTTTATTGTAAGCTGTCTTTAGACTCCTGTTTGATCTCAGATCCTGTTTAGGGACCAGCTGCCTAGTCCTTGACAGACAGAAGCAATCAACAACCCCAAGCTGGGTTAGGATTTGAAAGCAGGCTGGGGAGACATGACAAGCAGTGGCAGAGAGTAACGCTGCTCCCACAGGTCCCTACATGCCTGTTGGGATTGGAAGGCTTGGCCATGGGGCCAGCGGTGCCTTCCTGTGTTCTGAGAGCCTGTAAAATGGGACCGTACCCATGGGGTACTCTGCCCAGCACTGGGCAGATACAAAGCCCTCAAGGGTATTAGAAAGTTGAACAGACTCTTGAGACAGTCTTCACCCAGCCCTGCCATCCCCTGCCTTGTCCATCCTTGAATCTCAGATAAGACTCAGAATGTTGTCTAATTCCTTCTCTTTTCTCTCTCCTGCGTCCTGCGGGGTTCTCCCTTCACACCGTGTATTGCACTGGGGCACCCTGGACTGGCTGCTGTGGTCATTTCTAACTCCTTGGCTTTTGTCTGCTCTGTGGAGCAGACACGCATCTCTTCTTTCCTACCTGGTCTCCAGCGCTCAGCTGTATGGACCTGGTTAACCACTCTCCCTCCTGGTGAGAGCCGCATCTATCATTTACTGACTATATTTACTTGCTTATTTATTATTGTCTCTCTGCTCTGCAGGCCAATTCATGGAAGGAGGAACCATATCTGTATTTGTTTTCATGTTAAGCACTTTGAAAGCCTGCTGTGTGTTATCTCAAGCCTTACTATGTGCCAGGTGTCCGGTTCAGAAGACACAGAGGCACCCTGGGGAATCAGATGTGAAGCTGGGCCAGGAGTAAACGATTCCATGTTCACCCTGCAAACAGCAGGAGCTTCAGGAACTTCTTTAGGATTGATCAGCTGACTGGGCTTCCCAGAACCAAGTGTGGGCCTGGTGAAGGCAAGGCATCGGAAACATTTTGCTGAATGAATGAATGAACAAATGCATCAAGATCACAGAAGCAACACGCCCTGATGCTATGTGTGTCACAGAAATCATAGAAAATATTTCCATGGCTCTAAAGTGTGAAAGCCTTCTCAGGACAGAGGCGACCACCCTGGGGACCATGCCCACTCCAGCCCCACGCCTGCTCACCTGTGTACTGGCCCCGGAAAGTGACCCTGTCTGGCTGTCTGGTGCTGCCCACTCCTCTCGTTCTGTCCCCAGCTGCCTGTGGTCTGTCCTCGGTGGTCCTGCTCTTCTCAGAGAACTGCCGGGGGGAGGGTGGCTCAGATTCAGAACCTGGGGTGGAAAGAGAGGGGCATCAGAAGGGGAGAAAATGGGGGTCACACAGCTCTGAAAGTGGACATGTCACACATTCAGGCTCTTGTATAGAGCTGGGCTGCTAACCCCAGATCTGCCTCCTAATAGTAACAGCACCACATCTGGAACACTGACCTTGTGCTCAGTGCTGGCCTAGACACGCTGCGTGTGCCCTCACAGCAGTCCTAGGAGGTGGGGGCTAGGCTTCCTGCACTGTTAGCTGCACCCGACTTCACAGCGCAGGGAAACAACCCAGAAGGTCTCACAGCCAGGAGGGGTGAGCTGGGGCTTAACCCTGGGCCCTGACTCCAGAGCTATGCTCCTTCAGGGGGGCCCCTGGTGCTATCAGACTTTTGTGCCCTTATATGCAGAATGCAGGTAATATGACTCACCTTGCCGTGAAGAGTAAGTGAGGTGAGATACACACAAAGCCCTTACAGGAGCCCTAGCACACAGCAGGTGTGCAACATACGGCTATCACCGGAAGTGAACTATGCTTCAGAGCACTATGATTGACTAAAAAGACACAAAAGCCTTCTCCAAGTTTCCTCTCAGGCTATTGCTGTGGTCCCTGACCACTGAGCCAACATGCCCAGGCTGTGGCCTCCACAGATCAGTCCTGGGAGGTGGTCACTTACTCAGGGACAGTTGGGGCACCTCGCGAGGCACTGAGGAGGACCTGGCTCGCCGCCTCCCTGTGGGGACCGCTTGCTCTGCACCTCCAGGCTCACCAGACAATCTCTCCGTGGATTTACTAGCAAAAGGGAGAGAGAGATGATATCCCTGAGTGAGGTTTTATGCGGCCTTTAAAGATGATCAGTGAGACAGCTAATCCAGAGAAATCCTTGTAACAAAATAGAGGAGAGCGTGAAAGCCCAAAACAAAGACTCTAGGTTCAGACTCACATAAAATAGCTCTGAGCCTCTCTGAACCTCAGTCTCCTCATCTGCCAAATGGGCCTAAAGAGCAAATACCCAGAGGTTTGCTGAGAGGATAAATGAGACAATGTCCATAACAACGTTGACCTGGTACCCTCTGGAAGAAACACTCAGAAATTAGTTGGTTTTATGTGATCACAAATGAATCGCTACTGAGTGAGTGTGGAAGAGGGGGAGTGTCCTGGAAATGTACAGTTGGGTGGTGAGCCCAGGGATATTCATTGGATCATGCTTTATTATACATACAGGTTTAACATTATTTTATGCAAAAAATATTACATAATAAAAAATACACATGAGGAATGAATGATTGAGTGAATGAGTGAGAGATGTGGCTGTGCCTGGGGAGAGCCAGAGGCTAGCCAAGCCTCCCGAGGCTGCCACCAGGGCACGGGGGTGGGCGCTGTGGGGTCACCCACCTGCCATAGTGGGAGCCCCAGGCAGAGGAGGCATCCGCTGGCCGGTCCCGGGCACGGGCAGGGCGGTTGAAGGTGGATGCTTGGCGCATCAGGCCGCCCTGGGGTGGCTGGTGCAGGCTGTCCTCCAGCCGCAAGCGGAGCCGGGAGACCTCCTCTTGCAGCTCGCGGATGGCCTGGCTGTGGTGGGAAGACAGAAGCAAAGAACAGATGCCCACTCCCCAGAGTGCTGCCAGGATGCCCTGGTCTTTGTTCCTTCCCACCAGGCACTGGGTCCTGCTCTGCTGGCAATTGATCCTGGCACTTGCTCTGTGTCCACTTTTCTTGCTATATATCCACCCTTCTGAGTTCATGTTCTGCACATTCAGTGAGCAAAATAGAATTTTCTTTAAGGCTTACCCAACCCAACGTGCAGGGCCTCCGAGTAGCTGTTCTGAAACACCGGGGACAAATTCTCAAGACAGAGGTGAGGAAGCAGAATAAAGAGAGCGTTGCTAAATTCCACTTTAAAATCTGAACTCTGACCTACCTTAGCCCCTGAGCTGCCCTCCCTTCCTCTGCCTCTGCCTGTAGAAATCCTACCCATCCAGGCCTGGCTCCTTCCTGCCCTTACTCAGCCCCTCCCTCCTGGGTTCCCCCAGCATTTCCTATGCGGTTCTAGCCCATCTATCCACTCCCAGCAGAAGATGCATCTGTCTCCCCAACTAGATTGTGAGCTATTGGCAGGCAAGAAGTGGGCCTCCCCATCTCATACCCTTTGAGGCCCTTACACCTTATAGATGCTCAGGGAATGTTTCTGAACTGGTGGACTCCAGGCTCCAGGAGGGAGCAGAGTGACGGACTGCCTGGAGAGAATACAGGAGACACCACGATGCTTCCCGTCACCCACTGAACATGAGCTGGCTAGAAGATGCAGTGACGCTATCTATAAGGCTGCCATAATCCCTGTGAAGCCCCCAAACAGCCCAACCTCTTATTAGCAAGGTATGGCAATGAGCCATGAGCATCCAGGGAGTAAGTACTGTGTGCATTTCTCTGCAAAGAGCTCCTGAATCTCTGGAGTCTCTTTCTCAGGGCATCGCTGGCACTGTGGCAGACCATCCCACCTGGACACGCCTACACACGGAGCGTCAGAGTCTGGGCTTGGCATGGCCATTCCTCCAGGCTGAAGGCAGCTCTCCATTTATTCTCTGAGCCAGCGCCTGCGGCAGGGGCTCCCCTTAGGGTTAGTTCTTGCCTGGTGGCCCCTGGACTCATGCGTGAGCATCTCCTGGTGCCAGTACCTGCTCTTGGATGAGTGTACAGAGGAGGGAGGGTCTCTCCGCCTATGCCCCAGTGCAGTGTGCGTCCAGGGCACTCAGTTCTCCTGGCAATCTCCAAGGAGATGCTTGTTAGGGTTTCCAAGGCAAACCACAAGAGTGGTGGCTGCAGGGGAATGAGCTCCCTTGGCCAGTTAACCCCTGGCAGGCAGGGTGGGGGCCCTGTGCCACACACAGAACTAGAGGGCAGCTCTGGCTCCCTGTCCCTGGCAAAGGCTGCTGAGTGAGGGCCTGGGACTTGGAATACCCACTGGGGTGTCACTTGCCCTCTCTGAGTTGTTTCTATCAGGTTCTCAGTTTTCTGACTTAATTCTTTAGTGACTGAGTACCATCTGGCACTTAAATTTCATCTTTCCCTACAAAAGTACACCCCTCCTGCATTCCCCACCTCTGTATCAACACCCAATTGGTTGGCCACCCAGAAATTGGAGTCATTCTACACCCTTATTCCTTGAACACCCTGAAAGTTACCCAGCTCCCAAGTCCTGTGGGCCCAGTGCCTAAACTCTCCCTCCAAGTGCACTCCCTCCACTCCCCAGTGGCTCCATCATCACCATCCGGGGTGAGGCAGCCTTCTCTGCAGTCTGTCAGCCTCTGTTCTCACCCTCCTAGTGGCCAGAGACCTCTTTCTAAAACGTAAATTCAACCACACCAATCCCCTGCCTGAAATCTCCCTCGCTGTCCTTAGCTGGGTGCGCATGCACGAATATTCAGTGAACACCTGCTCTGTGCCAAGCCACCACCCAAACCTCTAACCGTGGGGTTTGAGGCCTCCACCATCTCCCTGAAGTCTCCCCATGCACCTCTATACCTTTATTGCTCAACACCCACCCCCTCACACTGGAGGATCCACTTAGCATGAATGCTTGGCTCCCCCAAAGTGACAGGTGCTCTCTCACCTCTAGGCCTTTGTACATGCTGTTCCCTCTGCCAGGGATACTTGACCATTTCTCTTCCTTCTGATTTCAGCTGAGATGCCACTTCTTCCAGGGGCCCTCCCTGAAGCCTCCAACTGGGCTAGATACCTCCCGTCTGTGCTCCTACAGACCTTTGAGCTCTGCCACCACTACTCACACTGGGCTGTTACTGCCTGTTTCTTATTCATCCTACAAGACGGTGCACTTCACAGGGCCAAGGGCTATCTTGTCCTGTCCACTAGTTATTCCCGGAGGCTGGTATATCATAAATAAGCCTCTAATTCCTATGCTGATGTCAGAGGAGACTACAGGAGTACCCATATAAAACTCAGACCTGGAAGCCAAATGCCAGCAGATAGACCCGTGACTGCACAGGCCCAGAGGTCTCCAGTTGATCACCACAAAGTAGTCTTCCCAGTACATTCTGGGACAGACACTCCAACCCAACAAAGGCATGTGATTGGTTATTGGCCAAAAACAACCCAAAGAAGAGAAAAGATGACTGACAAACCTATTTTCCCATTTCAACCAAGCAAGGAGCAACTTCCTTAGTAGAAAAAGTGCACTTGGGTTAAAAAGGAGAGAATTGAAAACAGGCTCCTCTCAGTTCATACAATGGACACATAAACTGCAGACACCATACCCCTGAGAGGTGCAGACCAGTCTTGGAAGGGAGATGTTGGGGACAGGGAGAGAGGTCCAAGCACCAGAAATACAAAGTTCTAGCTCATCTCCCACTGGCTGGAGAAGCATCCTGATGCCTAGATCAGCGAGGTCCCACAGAAGCAGTCCTGAGCTGGGAGGCAGGGTGCCTGGCTCCATCTGGCCCCAGGACAGCTACCACTGGAAGTGACTGCTGGGCAAGCCCCGCCTCCCTCGGGCAGCCCTGCCCTGTCTGTGGCAGCTCCAATCTGCAGCGATCCAACTTACTCTCGCCCTGTCCTGGTGAGGAGGAGGGTGGGGGTGGTGGGTGCTAGCCCGTGGGGCAGAGGAGCAGCTGCAGGGGCCGAGGTGGGGGATGGGTTGATTGTCGAGCTCAGTGGATGCTGTTCAGAAATCTGCTTTCGGCCCTCAAACTCTGAGCCAGGGATGGCTAGGGAGGCAGAAAGAGAGCAAAGTGAGTTTACACAGAGACGATCCTGGAAGCATGAACTTGTGTGGGTGGAAGGATGGAGGCCAAAGAGATGGTGCCTGGCTGAGGTCACAAAGTGAAATTCCTAATGTCAGTGACCCACTGACCTCAAAACCTGGAGATGTGGCTTTTGCTGAAAGCTTGGTGTGCAAAGCTGCTTCTAAATCGATTCCTTCCCCTACCACCTATTTTGGCATCAGAGTCTTCAGGACCCTCCCGCTGCAAAGAGCTCAATGCTCCTTCATGTGGGCACCCCCGACTCTCTGGTGCATCACCATGTTGTTCTGGGGCTGGCTTTGGAGCCTCCACCTCTCTCTGAATTTATAGTCACACTTTCCCCTGGGTGCATGTTTCAGAGGAGAGCATTCAAAACTGTAGCCTCTCAGAGGTTAAAAAACCATGAATCTGGCTCATGCATCAAAAGCAAGCCCTTGGAATACCACTCAGCAATATGGAAAGGAACAGACCAATGATACATGGAACAAACTAGATAAATTTCCAGAGAATTGTGAGTGGAAAAGGCAATCCCTAAAGGATATCTATTATATTTCATTGATAGAACATTCTTGAAATGACAAAATTTTAGAAATGGAGATCAGATTAGCAGATACCAGGAGTTAAGGAGGGGGCAGAGGCAGGAGGGAAGTGCATGTGGTTAGAAAAGGGCAACATGAGAGGCCTTGATTTTGATGGAAATGTCCTCTGTCTTGAGTGAATCAATATCAGTTGTGACACTGTACTCAAATTTTGCAAGATGTTACCATTGCGGGAAACTGGGTGAGGGGCACATGGGAGATCTTTGCATATTATTTCTAAAACTGCATGTGAATCTTTACTTTTTTTTACATTGAACTTTAGTTAAATGTTCAATGTAAAAAAATCATAAATGACAAACTTTCAAAAGAGGCAAAGCTGATCTGAGCTGTTAGAACAGTGGTTGCCTTTGGGAGGGGTGAGAGTGACTGAAAGTGGCTTGCAGGGGCCTAGGGGTCTGATCAGGTTGAATTATTTGGTCTTTGTTCACTTCGTGAAAATTCACTAATTTATGTTCTTCCTTGTATGTTTCATTTCAATAAAAAGTTCACATGCATTTTTTTAAAGGTAAAAAACAAGATTTTATAGACATGGGAAGTGTTTATGAAATGATGTCTAGTAGTAAAAAATGGAAGGTTACTAAACATTTATGCATAATTCGATCCCATTTCCGTTTTAAGTGTGTGAAATAAACAGACACACATTGGCATAGGAACCAGATCAGGGTTCTGCACGAGCTGTCAGCAGTGATGGATTTCAGGATACTCTTTTATTCTTTTGTTCCCTTTTATCCACTCCATCTGTAATTTCAAATTTTCCTATAATGGGTGTATATGGTGTTTTGTATTCTAAAGGATAATGCAAGTGTTTTTGTTGGTTTGATTTTTTAATCCATGCAATCCAGCCACCCCCAGGTTCCAGCCAACCCAAATGTATCCACTCACCCATCTTGGCCATCAGCGCCTGCTCCAGGCGGAAGCTGGGTGCCCTCTGCTGGAGAGGACTGTCCTGGGTGCAGGGGTGCCTCTGGGCTCGTCTCCTGGGTGTGCTGGACTCAGAGGCTCTTCTGGGGACCAGAGGATCTCGGGTCTGTGGATGGGAGGCTGCATCCTGGGGCACAGGCGCAGTGGAGGGCTGGGCTAACGTACCTGGGGTGCTGAGGGAAAGACACGCTGAGGCCACGGAGAGAGGCCATGGTCTCCAAGTGCCTCCGCACGCTAAACCAAAGAGCTCCTGACCTTTGGGACGTCATACCCCAGGCAGTTCAGTGTGTCTGACTGCCCTTTATCCTTGTATTCTGCTCACCTCTCGCCACCCTCCCTATAGATCTTTCATTCACCAGTCACTCATTCATTTGTTCAACAAATATTTATTTCCTAGTCTATTCCTAAGTGGTTGAGTGATGCTGGGCACCTCACTTTTCCTCTCTGAAGCTCAGTTCCCCGCTGTCAGCAGGATGGGGGTAGGTAAGGAACAATCGTTGGGTGGAGGAGGTAAGAGCTCTGAGAATGCCCAGGCCATCTGGCCCCGTCTGGCTCATAGGAACTTGGACTCCTGAGCCATCCCGGGCATGTGACCCTGATGCGACAGTGGTGGGGGTCCCCAGGATACCTGGTGTGGGAGAGCCGGTGCTCTGGGGTCTGGGTGAGGGGCGACACTCTGCTGGCTTCTGAGCCCACAAAGCCACTGTCTGTCTCCGGGGATGCCATCCAGGGCTCCTGAAAGAGTCAGTGTCCCTTTAAGTCTGAGGAATGTGCCTGAGGCACACTGGGAAGCCCGTCTCCAGTCCTGGCCTGGGTCTCACATTCCAGACGCTGACAGATGGGGAGGCTGGCCCAGCTCCCAACAGCTAGGCCCAGAGAGTGAGAGTCCTCCGGTGCTCAGGACCCAGCACCAGGACAACAGCAGGGACTCCATGCCCCAGAGGACTCTGAGCAAGTCCCCTGAGGAGTGGGAACCAGGGAGGGGAAACTGTAGCACATTTTCTGAGCTGAGGAATAGAAAGAGAAGGGCAAGCAGTCCCATTGTGCGAATGGGATTCTCACTTCCGCATGTTTCTGGCTTGGGCCTGGAGTCAGTTACCATCTGACTGCAGAAGTGTCCATCCCAATGAAGTGGGAAAATAAAATTCATCTAACATGCACACATGCACACGTGGTCTACTGTAAGGCATGGAGAACACAGGTACCTGCCCTCCGTGAGTTCATGGACTAGGGCAGGTTCCCTACAATGGGCTCGTTGGGACTATAAGGGTGTGTGTATGTGCACATATGCATATTTACACATTATTCTATGGGAGGATTCACAGCATAAGTCACCTTTCCATAGTGACCTGTAACTCCTGCCACAGTTTAAAATTGCTCCTCTAATGATGCAAATACGGAGTGGAGGTAAGGACTACTCCCCATCTGTGCTAAGGAGGCTCTGAGACATACAGGCAATGGGCTACAAGCTCTCAGAGGAGGAACAAGAGCTCCTGGCAGAGAGATGGGGGTGGGCAAGAGCTACAGCAAAGAGGTGGCACTGGGCATAAGCCCTGAATGTTGGGTGGGATTGTAACTGGTAAGGACAGGAGCAGCAGGCGTTCTGAGAACGAATGGTATGTGCAAAGACCCACAGGCAGAGAGCTCCAGGAGATGCAGGGAATGGCCCTGAGGCTCTGAGCCCTTGCCCATGTGGATGCTTACCTCCAGGGGCGGTCCACCAGCTTGGCACAGAGATTTCCGTGGAAGGCGCTCAGAGATGCTGCTTCCCTCCAGGCTGGTCAGACTGCTCTGGTGGGACACTGCAGACTTGGTGCTCAGAGGGTGGGGTTGCCTGCTAGGGCCTTGAGCAGCTGCCTCAGCTTTTCCCAAACCCTCCAGGTGCCCGCCTGTGGCCGCAGATGCATGGGAGCCTGCTGGCTTCACAGACACCATCTGCTCCATGGTCTCCCTGGCAGGAAGGAAAGCATGCCAACCCTGAGCCCTGGCACGGGCCAGGCAGCTCCGTCCTGGGAGTCAGGGAGGAAAGTGCATGAGCTCTATAGTCAGACAGACTGGGTATCCACCCCGGTGCTGCCACCTTGTAGCTATGTGACCTTGGACACGACAGAGGAAATAGTATGGAAACAAATGAGTGAAGGGCTTCAGGAATTTGCATACCACCTTCCCTATTTCAGCAATTTCTATAAACTTCAATCTACTCAAAAAGACTTTATGTAGCTATTTTAAATAGAAGACCAGTACTTTGTGTTACAAATAGAAACAAACTGTCAAAGTCAATACAAGAAACATAAAAATAATATTGTTTATATTATATTATTATTATATTATATTATACTATATTTATTATATTATATATCATTATATCATATCATACTACTATAATCTAGACAGATCCTGTTGCCTGCTAAAGGCTGTTCTCATTTTCTCTCTCTCTTCTTATAAAGGAGGATCAGGAGAGGCACTTAAGACCTCACAGCACTGAGACTTTCTCCTGGATGCACTTGGAAGGTCTGAGCCTGAGGAGAACAATGTTATTTAGCTGTAGTTACCCTATGGAAAATCACACCCCACACTATCCAAAATCATTTCAAGTGCTATCAGTGGTGTCCATTCCACATTTTGCAGAGATACTGAGCTTTGGGTCAGGAAAGCTGTTTCTAAACAGTGAAGTGCTGTCTAGCTCACTATGACAGACTTGGTGTGGGACAAGCTGGGGAGGCTCACCGACATACCTGCAAGGGGCCCTGCGGCTTCTCTCAGCCTGTGCTGGGAGCTGCCTTGTGGGGAGTGTGGGGGCCTCTGCTTTCCCCGGAGCTGGCCCATTAACTTCCAGAGTACAGCCCTGGCCCTCCTCCCCCTCCTCCATCCTCATGGCTTCTGGAAGGGATTTCACACTGAGGTACCTGCAGAGAAACACACAGAGCATGACTCCTGCCCAGCAGGGCCAGCCAAGATCAAGCCACTGGGCCAGACATCCTGGCCCCGTTCCCGGTGGGCACTCACCGCTCCAGGAGGCCATGGAAATCTTGCTCCACCTGCAGCTCCTTGCACCTGAGTGGGGCTGGAAGGCACAGTGGCCTGTCTTCCACCTCACTGTTAGAAGCGTTCAGCTCCACGTTCACATGCAATGGGCGGGGGTCAACGCTGGTGGCATCAAGCTGGGATCAGGAAGGTGGAGGGGCAGAAAAACACCACTTTTTAAGGACTTACTTCATGCCAGGCTCATGCTGGGTGCTGAAGAGTAAGAAACAGGTTAGACTCACTAACCCCACCACCCTTTTATGTGTGTGTAAAATGTGGGAACTGAATCATGTGAGCTTCAGCACTGGCTGCCATTAATTGAGTGCCTACTATGTGCCAGGCACTACACAGACATCACTTCATAACAATTTCTCCAGTATATATGGTTATTACAACACTTTCTATAGACAGGTAACTGAGGCTCAAATTATTTGCCCAAGGTCATACAAAAGCAAGGGGCAGAGCTGATATTTGAACCTTCATTTCCTGCCAGAAACACCTCTTGACCAGCTCCATTCTAATAGATACCCAGCTCCCTAAAACACCGTCAGTGCAGGAACACAGGAGCTGATCAAGATGACACACTTGGCTTTTCACTGATTAGTGCATGAGATAGGGCCTGGTAGTTTTCCTATCTTCTGGGGGCAGAGTACAGTATGAGAGAATGTCCTTCAAATCCCTGGGCCACCCAGACCTCAGCTGTCATGGACATCCTGCCAGTGCCCAGCCCTCCATAAGCTGCCACTCCACTGAACATGCTGGCCCTTTCTCCTGCTCTGGTGTCCAACAGACAAGTCTTTGCAGCACACGTGACAATGCATAGCGACTCCACCACTCTCACCCACGTGACCCCTCTACACATGGTCTCCTCAACCACAAAATGTAGTGATCACCTCACACGTGGTGCTGATGCGGCTGGAGAGGTTCCTCCAAAGCCCTTCCGCGTGTGGCCCGGGCTAGTGTCTCCCATCTCTGTGATCAGTCCCCAGATCCATCCAGTACTACAGGCCAGAAGCCTGGACGTCGCCCTTTGCTCTCTTTCCTCCCACTAGCTCCACATCTGTCAATATACTTTCCAAACCTCTCTCAAGTCCACGCACATCTCTCTATCTGCCCAGCCACCTCCCCACCTCTGACAGGCCTACCTGCAAATCCTCTCATGTCATCCCTTGCCAAAACACCCAGCAGAGTTTAAGACCAAACCTTTGATGTGACCCTCAAAGCCCTACATCACGGAGCACCTGCCTGCCTCTCTCCTGCCACATCTTTCAGACACCTGCCCTCTTACTTCCCACACTCTAATCACAGGGCTGTTTGCCCTGCTGGACGGCTTTCCCTCTTCTGTACCAAAAATTCCTACTCACCCTCAGGCCTCATTTAAACATTATTTCCTCAAGGGAAGTTTCTCTGACCCCCTAGACTCAGTTGTTACCTTACTGTCTATGCTCATAGGACCTCATACTTCTCCTGTAGAGCACTGATCCAAATTTTACCAAAATAATTGTGTGACTAGTTCAACTAGACAGAGAAGTCGATGAGGAAAGAGACTACCTTTTCTGTTGTTCATTTCCCACTGAATTCCCACCACATGTCATGGGTCCTGGCGTGTGGTATATAGCTTCACAAATATATCCTGAAGAGGTCAATTAATGAAGAGAAGAATGAAGGAAGGAGCAGTCTATTATGGCTGCGCAGAGCAGTACCTCAGGGCAGAGGGTTGGGGTGGCCGGTATGGGGGCTTGTCCCAAAGGAGGGGGCAGGCACGCCGGCTGGTAGGGGGAGGCCCTGGCTGGGGGGCTGTCCTGGGCCGAGTCCGACCCAGCTGGCTCAGGCTCCTGCTGGCTCTGGTCCAGGTGGTCCTTCAGCTCTTCTAGGCGAATTCCCAGCTGGAATATCTCTGCCTCCAGCTTCCTGAAATGGGAAAATATTACTGTCAGGAGCCTGGTATGGCAGCCACAGATCAGGTAGGTTGGAAAGCTATGCTTCAGAGCACAAGCCCCAGAAAATGTCCATGGAGGGTCCATTTAACATCACCATTTAGATTATATAAAGAACTCGAAATAAGCAACATGAAAGGTGATCCACTGGGAATCAGGCCTCAGTCTGGGTGTCCCTCTCTACCAACAAGCTGCGGGGCCTTCAGCAAATCCCTCCCTCCCCAGCATCAGTTTCCCCATTCTTCAGTGAGGGGCTTAGGTCTTATCTCCAAGGTCACTTCTCATGGCAGTAAGTCAAAAGGACACAAATCTCAGCCTTCAGGAATTCCTCTATTTGGATATGTCCAACTGAGACAGAATTTATCCCTGGTGTCCCAGTGCATGAATTACGAGGACCAAGTGTGTCCCTCCTGGAGACCAAGAAGTCACCTGCCCCATCTGTCCTCCTGGGCTCCCCTCTCCTGCACGTACCTGCCAGGATCAAACTTCCCAGGGATCCCCCTGGAGCCCACAAGTTGCTGGGCCAGGTGCTGCTCCCTGCAGGCCTTCAGATACTCCTCCTCCAGGGCTGTGTGGGCAGCCTTTAGCTTCCGGAAGCCCTGAAATCGGACCAGGCCAGGAAGACCTGAGTGCCCAGCCCCCATGGACTCCGAGCTGTCTCATCCACTGTGTCTGCGTCCCTGCAGACACAGTGGATGAGACAGCTCAGCTTGTAGGGGGCCATGGGTCTCACCCTGGGTCTGCAGAGACCTCTGGACCCCTGAGTCCTTGAAAGGCTGTGATTGGGACCCTCTGGAGGCTTCTCTGCCACCAAACTGGCATAGCTTAGAGCTCTGGTACCAGCTCAGAGGGCACTAGTCCTTGCTGGGTAGACCTACAGGAACCCCAATGCTCCATGATGGTTATAGTGTCAAATATGCTATCACTGTGTCCCCATAAGGACCAAGTACTTGAGAGACCATGAATCCTCATTCTTGATTTTCAAAACTGGATTTTGGAACATTAGTCTCTCTTCTTCTTCCAAATCCTTATAGACTATCATGACAGAGGATAACTAGCATTCATTGGGCATTGAGGCTGTGTGCTAAAGCGTTTTGCAGCATTCATTTAATCTTCAACATAATCCTAATGAGAAGAATAATTTAACATTTTCATTTAAAGAGGAGGAAACTAAAGCACAGAGAGGTTATTTAAGTTGGTGAAGGTCACACAGTGAGCGAGCAAGTTGTGGAGGCAGGATTTGAACCCAGGCCCTCTACCTCCAGAGTTTGATGTCCTAACATTACACTAGGACCCCCACAGCAAGCATGATGATAGCTAACACATGGCTAAAACTCTGGGAGGTCGGATCATCATCATCCCTGGCTTATATCATCCCCATCCCGCTCATTCTGTGCTGATGGTGGACTGAGGCCAAGGACACCCTATAGCCCCCAGTCAAGCATGATCTTCCAATAGCTCTCAACCTCCTGGATGTGGGGGAATTAGGACAGAGGGAAAGAATTAGAGTGGTTTTGATTCTCAAGGTCCTTGATCATCCACTCAATGAGATAATAAGATACATATCATACATTTTGTCATTGCAAAATCTATGTGACGTCTATACAATAGCATAGCAAGAAGGTCATATTTCTTCCCAACCAGGTGTGTTGCATTGGGCCCTCCACGCCTCCCTCAGCTCCTCTCCCCACCCTGCTCTGTGCCTCGAGCATCAGCTGGGCTCCCTACCTGCTGGCTTCCCAGAGGTCTGTGCAGTGGGGAGCATCTATAAGAGGTCACAGAGTGGGATGAGAGAAACCTGTGAGGGAACAGCTAGTCCCTGGGCTTCCCTGTTCCGTGGGGGGCCACCAATGGTGCCCACACCAGTTAATAGCCCCTTCTTAGACCCCTAAACTCCCAGCTTTGAGAGCTCTATCTGCTCCTTCCTGGGGCCCTGGCTATTGTGGCAGAAATCTATATTTCATATATGACTGTAGTTATCTAGAAATATCAAAGTCCAAAAGGAAATAACTGAATCATGGTTAAATTAAGGGTCTCCTCTGCCTTTACCCCAGGTTTTCAAATTTTGGGCAATCACTTTTATAATAAAGAAAATAAAGAAAGAAAAGGTCATTTCTTGGTGGCTGAGAGGCAGGATAATCAGTAGCAAGCTGTCCAGAGCAGTGATTACAACGCTGGACTTGGGAATCAGACAGACCTGGGTCTGGGCTCTGACGCCTACAAGTCTCTTCGCTGGGCTTCGGTTCCATCCCAGTTAAATGCGGGTGATGACTGCAACTGCCTTGCCAGGTTTTTATGATGATAAAATGAAATAATGGTACATCACAGGCTTGCCACTGTGCCTGGAATAGCAGCATCATTGCTTCATAAACGGTTACAACTGGGATACAATGATCATTATCATGGAAAGCTAAGCAGGGGCTTTGTGCCCTAAAAGGAGACACTGTTTAGGGTTCTCTGGTCTGTTTGGCAGCAACCGAGGCTTCATAGACTCCACTATGGGAGACAGAACAGCTGCAGTGTATACTCCCCCGAAGTGGGCAGTACCTTGAGTTGGTCCTGGGGTGTCAGTTGTCCAGTCTGCATTAGTCCTACGAAGGACTCCACCTGGACATTGGGAGGGGAAGAAAGACACTCCATTAATCCAGACCCTGGAAAATTAGTCCTGTCGGCTCCCACTTAGGCACGTTCACACTTTGGCATGGGGAGCAGTGTCCTGCCTTGGGGTGTGACTTTCTTGCCAAGCACAGGGAGGCAGGTGCCAAAAAGTGATTCCATCACTGGCTTAAGCCTTGGCAACTTTGGGAGAAATCAAAGCGGCAACTAAGAATTTATCGACAGCACTCCCTCCATGTGCAGGAAGACCTATGAGGCAGGATATTTACTACAGCATGGTCAGGGGCAACAGGAAACAATCGAAGTGCCTATTTGTGGAATAGTTTGCAGCCACCAAGAATAGGAAACCACACATATGTTCTCATGTATAAATTCCTCCAAGACCTACTTTTAACATCAAATCAAGGTAGAGGCCAGGGTTTATAATATGCTACCATCATATAAAATACATAGAATGACAAAGGAAAAATATAAATACTTAGGTATTATAAGTTCTAGAAGGATGAAAGAAACTGAAACATTAATTGCCTCTGTGGAGGAGAACTGGGTGGGAGCAGGGGGACAGGGATGGGAGGGAGGTTTTCTACTGTATGTATCTTTTGAACTTTTAACAAAGTGAATTCACTGTCTCACCAGAAATATTCATATTTAAGACATTAAAAAAGTCAAGGTACAATATAGTGTACACACTTGCATGACCATTTCTATACACACGTGTGCAGTGAACATTTCATCATGGAACAGAAGCACAAGGATAAGAAAAGACTTTTCACTGAACATACCCTTTGTACCATGTGAGGGTCTTTACCATGTGCATCTGTTACCATTCAAAAAAATTTTTAATTAGGAAAAAAGGGCAAAGGATGATTAGGGGATTTTCTAAAGTTTCTAGGGAAGTTCTCAAATAGTGCGAAATACAATATAGAAATTTATATCATTATGTTATATAATTTATATGACATAAAGTAGAAATGCAATGTAAGCTGCACATGTAATTTAAAATGTTCCTAAGAGCCATATTTAAAATGTAGAAAGAAATCGGTGAATTAGTTTAATAGTATATTCTATAAACCTAACATATTAACACGTAATAAATGAAAAAATTATTAATGAGATATTTTATATTTTTCATCACACTTGGAAATCTGGTGTATATTCACTTGCAGAACACCTCAATTTGGACTAGTTAAACGTCAAAGACTCAAGAGCCATGTGGCCAGTGGCTCCCATACAGGACAGGGCAACTCTGGATCATGCCCCAGCTCCTACTCAGTAGGAGTAGCATTGCTTTGCTATAGAACACCCAGGACAAGGAGAAATCTCTCTCCAGTTACAAGACTCAGAATGGTGGTAATAAAAAGCCATGAACTACTCACTCATAACACTACAACATGGATGAGCCTTGAAACCATTATGCTAAGTGAAAGAAGCCAGACACAAGAAGACAAATATTATATGAGTCCTTTTGTAGGAAATATCCAGAATAGGCGAACTCATAGAGACAGAGAGTAGATGAGCAGCTGTTAGGGGCTGGGGGAAGGGGAGTGGGGAATGACTGCTTAATGGATATGGAGTTTCTAACCGGGTGATAAAAGTGTTCTCAAATTCCTGGTGGGATGGCTGCATGACTGTAACTACAGTAAAAACCACTCAAGCGTTAACTTTAAATGAGTGAACTGTATGGTAAGTGAAATATATCTCAATAAACTTGTTACCAAAAAAAGAAAAGGTGGTGTTTTCTGAAGGAACTGATTTTATGGACATGGCAATATATCTGATTATTACATTTCCCTTTTTGCCTTGATAACTAGGAAGCTCAAAGCCAAACATGAATCTGGTAAAGTGTGAACATGGTCACGGTTCAACAGAACATTTTGTTGTCTCACTTCACCCTAAATGCATTTTCTTTCTTTTCTACCCTTACTTCCCCTCTGCCCCAGTTTCCTCACTTCCGTTTTCAGAACGAGGTATTAGTGCATGTATTTTCTAAGCTGCTTTAAAGCACTTTTGGAGAAAGGCCAAGCATATGGTTATAAACAGACTTGCAAACAATTCAGTTACTTGGACTGTTTGATGAAAATATAAAGGCTCTTTTTGAGAGGTGACTGAGAATTCATTTCTGTAATGAAATGAACTAAAAAAGTGGAGTGATTTGTCCTCAAGAGGAAAAGGTAACGTGGAGGGTCTATGCTTTTTCCAGGATCCTGAAAGAGCTGAGTGTCTCCCAGGGGGTGAAGCAAACTGGGGGACACTTCCAAGCACAATTGGAGGGAGTCTGATGAGACACCATGCCAAAAAAGGGCATTACACCCACCCTACATGCCAGGGCGGAGGCAGGGGCAGCGGGGCCTCTGAGACCAGGGGAGAGGCTAGCATTTCGAGACAGCCAGGGGAAATCCACGAGTAAGCCCGGAGGGGCATCTCATTCAAGCAGGCAGAGGCTCCGCTTTCTCCAGGGACAAAGTCGCCCCCGGGACAAAGCTGGGGTTCCCCTCACCTTGGCCAGGAACTGGCTGGCCCAAGAAGCCAGCATCTGGGTTCGCTCCACTGTCGGCTGATCCTGGGCGCTGCTTGGGTTCTCTGGAAGCCACCCTGAGGTGGGCATACTGCTGGGCGAGGATGGGCTCAGGTCTCCTCGAGCTGAGGGCCACCCTGGAATACACAACCACTGAGCTCTGAGGCTGAGAACAGTCCTCCCTGGGACTGAGAGATGGATGCTGAACTTCAAAACCACCAAGATCATCAGTTTCCGGCTCAGCCATCTCCCGATCACGCCATCTTCACACAGCCTCAGGGCTGCGTTGTTCCCACTCCCAGGGGAGAGTAAGGCCGGAGTCTGCCCAGCTCGCACAGCTGGAGTTCAGCCAGGCCTCTCGGTTCCTGGTTAACAGTGTGGGCTCTAACTCAGCGAGGTGCAGGTGCCAATCCCACCCCTCCGCCTCGTAGCAGTGTGAGCACGTCCTCACTCACGGAGCCCCAGTCTCCTTAACTGTCTATGGGGCAGCACCAGTGTGCACCTCACCAGGCTGGTGTGCAGATTGACTGGGATCATGGTTGGCACAGCCATATGGGATCTGCAGTGATGATGCTCTTTGTCATGCAACTCACCCAAGAGCCCTTGGCTTCCAAGTAGCAAAGGTAGAGCTTCACCCAGGCTGCTCTGCTCAAAGTGGAACACTTTCCAGATAGCCGTTTGACCTCTTCAGGTCCAAGGGCCCAGAGAGGGGCCTCACCTCCCTCCCTCCCCTGACCTGAAGCCAGAGCCACTCCAGGGTGAGCCAAATTCCCCCGGAGCAGGATCACAGACAGAAGGAGCTCTCAGCCACATCTCTCCCCAACTCACCTGAGGCCTCAGAGGCCTGCAGGGCCTCACTGGGGCCTGGCAACCGCTCCACCAAGTGGGGCTGTGGGATGGTGAAGGACAAGACCTTGGTGCCCTGGGATACCGTCCCCCTGTGGATGCTGTGGCTGGGCTGGGGTGGGTCCGAGTACAGGTTCACCTGTTGGGGAGGGGAGGCATGGGCAGAGCCAAGTCAGGGTGGGGACGAAGCCACCCAAAGGCCTCACCTTTATTCACAGGCTCACTTAACAAACATGCCTTGTGATATAAATACTACCTTTTAGTGTGGCCATTGGGTGGGGACAGACACTGTGAAGGGCTTACATGTACTTTCATCATCTCTTTTATCATCTCTTTATGGCAGCGGAAAGGCAGGCAGGGCAGGGACCATCACCCCCATTTTACAGAATAAGAAACTGAGACTCAAGAGAGGTTAAGTCACTTACTGAAAATCTCCAGCTGCTAAATTCTTGGGCTGGGGTTAATCCTGCTTTGACCCTAAAATCCACGGTTTTCCATATTAATAATTGTTGTTAACAACATTTATTATAATAATTTATAATATAACTAACTGTTTAGCATATAGCAAGTGTAATTATATATAATAGAATAATTAGCATTTATTATTTATAAAAATTTCCAATGATTATTATTATATGGATAATAATAGCAATTAATGGTTGATTGAATGAATAAGCTAACAAGTGGATGAACTGATTTCTGTTGTAGCAATGTGAGCAGTGTAAGCAAAAGATCTCCAACATTTGAGGATGGATTTCATGTGGTAAATGGCCCAGGATATTACAGAGAAGTCTGGAGTCAGGCAAATAGCCAAAGAAGACCATTTGTAGCTCAAAACTAGAGGAGATCCACATACTGTACAGTGGTTTAGAGCAGGGGTTGGCAAACTATGGTTTGTTTTTGTGAATACGCTTTGGTGAACACAGCCATGCTTGCTTATGTATTTTCTATGGTTGCTCTCATGCTATGAAGGCAGAGTGGACTCATTACCTCATAGACTGTATGGCCCACAAAGCTGGAGATATTCTCTATCTGGCCCTCTACAGAGAAAGCTTACCGATGCCTGGCTTAGGACGGCAGTTCCGCAGAGCCTGGGTTTACATCCAGGCTCTACCACCACCCACCTTCCAGTCCTCGAGCAGCCAACCTAACTAACCTTTCTGTGCGCAAAGCAAGTGCTCAATAAACAGTAGCTGCCACCCTCACATTTAACAACAGATCATCCCCATCACCATAATCATCATCACCTCATCACCTCATCACCATAATCACCATCACCACATCACCATCACCATCACATCACCATCATCGCCATCATCACCACCATCACCAACATCATTACCTCATCACCATCACCTCACCACCATCACCATATCACCATCACCACCATTATCACCATCACCACTGTCAACATCAACAACACCATCATCACCACCATCACCATCATCTTCACTGTCATTTATGTAGCCATCATGGAGGCAGGTCCCTGAAAAAGCTATTCCTCTGTGGTGCTTTGGTGACCCTGTGGTTGCCTCCTGCTGCCCCAAGGCCAGGAGTGTCAGGGTGTCTAGTGGAGGGTGCTCCTTAACCCCCAGGCAGCCAGATTCTCCCAGCTTAAGCTGTTCTTCACATCTGGTCTGTGGCAGAAAGAACTACTCCAACATGAGGGACAGTGGCCCAGCGTGGTATGGTCCCCACTGCCTCCCCCTTTTTCAGCCCCAGCCTCTTATGTGAACAAAGCTGGATTTTAATAATCTCCTGGCCATCTGCTCAGACTGGCCTGTAGGGGACTGCCTACCAGCACCCCTTCCTCCCAAGGTGACCCAAATCTGGGAGAGGTCCTGCCCCCCTGTGCGCCTCCCTGGCCCCGCCCTGCCCCTCCCTTCCCCCAGCCTCAAGCCCACCAAGGCCCAACCTGGTGAGCATCAGAACCAGCGGCTCCCAGGAGGAGGCATTACTTCAGCAGAGGGGCGAGAGGCCTGTGCAAAGGCTCAGGAAGTGGGGAGTGGGGATGAGTGTGGGCAAATACCCAGCTGCTCAGGCCTGCCCCTCCCGGCACCTGTCTCTGGACCCACCCCAGGGCTCGAGGGTGCCCCTATTAAGGCCCAGGTGCCCCCTGAGGCTCCCTCAGAGGGGTGAATCAGTGAAGGGTAGCCCAATGAGCGTGGGAAGCATTGGGTTAAATAACTGACTAGTCTGCACAGATGGGTTTCTCACAGCCTTTAAAATGCTAATGAGCTTTATGAATGGGCAAGGAGGGGAGGGAGCAGAGAGAATGGAAAGTACCCCCCTCCTCTGAACACACAAACCTCCCTTGCCCCGCCCCCACCTCCATCAGGGGCTCTGGACCAACTGGCAGCCACTAGAACACACACTTTAGGAAAGGCAGTTCTATGTCACCGCCCCCATTCCAGTTCTTTCTGGGGTAATTTCTGGTCTCTTCAGCCCCACCAGATCCCTCTGCAGCTGAACCGGGGACAGTGGCTGGAGGGAGGTGGTAATAGGGCAGCAAATATGTGAGATCATTATAAACTCTGGCCCTAACTGGTGTAGAGAACAAATCCCGACAACCCTGGCTCCCTTCCCGGCCCCCAGTCTGGACCCAGTGATGTTCCCAGGTCAGGCCATGCGACCCCATCGTCAGCTCCTAGCTGCAGAACCCATGGTTACCTAGTCTGGTTCTGCTAGAGAGTAAGGTGTTAATAGTGGGCTTTGGAGCAGGACTGCTGGCCTCAAACCCCAACCTGCACACATGTCAGGTAATCTTGGGTAAATTACTTAACCTCTCTGTGCCTCAGTTTCCCCAGTGGTAAACAATTTAGGACAGCAGTCAGTAAACACCACTTATTACTATTGTTATTATCACTGTAACATCACCATTCTGCCCGTCCCTATGCTTCTGCCACATACCCAGGGCCAGGTCCCAAGTGGGGCTCACCCAGGCATGGGGAAAAGAGCATCCACTCTGAAATCAGGCAGATTTACTCCCTCACCAACTGTGGATGATCCCCTGGCTGAGCCTTAGTTTCCTTTTGTGAAGAGATTGAAGGAAGTGGCGCTGACAGGGCACCCCCAGCCTGACTCCCTCACACATGGGTCCAGCTCGCCCTGGGGGCTCTGAGCAGTGAGGCACTCAGCAAGTCCCTGCGGAAGCAGCAGTGCCTCCATGCACTGGCCTCCCTGGACGGAGTGAAAGCCCAGCTCCACAGGCCCTGTGGGACCCTAGCGAGTCCCCTCCACACTCAGGCTCCATGTCCTCTTCAGCACATCGCGATGGTGAGTCCTGACTGTACTGCTCCCCGGGGTGGCTGTGAGACTGGGAGGCCGGAGGAGTACAATCATGCTTCTGGAAGAGTCCAGATGGCCTGCACTCACCCTTGCCTTGAGGAGATCCATAGGCCAGGGGATCATTTTCCCAGAAAGCAGGTGAGTGAGTCAGTGCTGAAACCATTCCCAGTCTCCCCTGCCTCCTCTCCTGTGCTCCCCTCAAACACAAGACAGGGGTGTGGGTCACCAGCCAAGTAGGTGTGACTGCACACGGGGGAGGCCCTGAGTCCCCACTGGGTCAGGGAGGAGCCCATGAGAGGAGGCACCACGGCTGTGCTCCCATTGTGACTACCTCTGCCCTTGCCTGCACTGTGCCTGGCACACAGGCACCCAATAAACACCTTCATATTAATCCTGTTAATAATAATAATAGTCCCTATCTCTCAGGAAGTACTTGTCAGGCCAAAGTACTGCTTTGCATATACTGACTCATTCCCTTAAGGGAGAAAAGGAAGACGAAAGGAAAGGAGGGAAGAGATAGATGCTCTGAGCCTCTGCCCCTCCTGGGGTCCCAGTTTCCCACTCTGTAGGATAGGGGAGCTGAGGGTTTGGACCTGATGGCCAGTTTCTTTCTCCTCAGCCTTCCCAGGACTCTGCAGCCACAATAATGTGGTTTCCAGGAAGAGAATGCCTCTTTATCCCTCCCCCCTCCCCATTGTCCCTTCTGCCCCCAAGTCTGGCTCAGTAGTTCAGAGAGCTGCAAGGGTCTGAGGATGTGAGGTGGAGCCCACTGGCTCCCAGGAGCAAGGATGATAACCCCCTTCTACAGGTGTGCCCAAGGAGCAAGGCTTATAACCCCCTTCTACAGGTGTGCCCAAGGAGCAAGGCTGATTAACCCCCTTTTACAGGTGTGCCCAAGGAGCAAGGCTGATTAACCCCCTTTTACAGGTGTGCCCAAGGAGCAAGGCTGATTAACCCCCTCTTACAGGTGTGCCCAAGAAGCCAAGCTAGGAAGGGGCCTGCCTGTGCCATGAGGCAGGTTGGGGATGCAGGAGACATCCCGCTCCTAGAACAGGGCCCTTTCTGTTTTCTCATTCAGGGAGAACCTCTAGGTGGTTGGGAGCTGCGCTGTGGCAGTAGGAGGAGTCCTGTAGCGGGATGTGGGCAGGCCCCTGTGGGGCCCCGAGAGAGGGGGGAAACAGGGGGTGCTGTACCTCGGCACCTCAGCTCCCGCCCCTCCCCCACTGCTGCCTGATGGGGGAAGAGGGGGTGGGGGCAAGCAGGAAGCCGCCAGGGGCTGCAACAGGTCCCACTTCCTGCCTTACCCCAGAAAAGGGGAAGGTCCCCAGTGCAGAATTCGCAGCTCCTCCCAAGTCGGGGTGAGGGCTCGGCAGGATGGGGGTGGATGGATTTTCCCCTCCATGCTCCCCCTGCCACAGGCTCAGAACTTAGCTGGGGGAAAGGGGCCTGAGGGGAGCCGGTGGGGAAGGAGAAAGACACAGCTGTGAGCAGGAAGGGTGAGGCCCAGAGACAAGCACCAGGGGCTGAGCAGAAACTGTGATACCCCACTGAGGCTCAGAGCTCAAGTAACTTCCTTAAGGTCACACAGCTTCAGAGGCAGGAGTGACTGCCAGAGCTCTTCTAGGAGGAGAGAGCTTCCGGTGAAATTCCTGGGCACCCCGGATGCTAGGATTCAAGGACATCAAACTTCATCAACCGTAAAGGAGACTGAATCCTGGAGATGGCAAAGCCCAAGGTGGCAGAGGGAGGCTGTAGCAGAAGCAGGGCTGAGTTCGTTCCTCTGTCTCCTGGCTCTCAGGAGGCAGGAGACAGTAGACCCTCTCAAAGACTCTGGGCAAGTGTCATCCTCAGGGGGCCCAGGTGCACCCCCTCCCCCACCCTGGCAGGGTACCTTAGCCCCAAGGCGCAGCTGGTCGATGGTGTTCTCGGCTTCAGCATACTTGGTGAGGAGCTTGTGGTAGTCCTCCTGTGGGAGAAGCAGAGCCAGACAGTCACGTGCCCAGACCCCTCGGAGTGTAAGAGCTCGGCGTGGGGGCTGAGCAGACCCCTTCAGGCTCACATGCAATAGACACACAAGTCAGAGATGAGGCCCTCGGGCTGGTTTACCTTGATGCATAACCCCTGTCACAGAACTGCAACCACTTGCTTATTTGTCTGAATTCCCTGCCCATCTGCCAGCTCTGTGGGCCAAGGCCCTCATCTGTCACCCCACTGCTCTATTCCCAGGGCTCAGGTATTATGTACTTAATGAGTGTTTTTTAATGGTCGACTGAATGAATCATCCAAGGGTCCCTCGCTAGAAAAATAGAAGATGTGGAAATCACAGTTGCAGCTATTCAGAGTCACTACTTGCCTTACACAAAACCGAAGGGCTTCATTAAAACATGTCATTACAAAAACGATCACTGGTCCCCTTGAAGGATGCTAGGAACTGACACATTGTTTGGAAAACCGGTGATGAGGACAGCATCAGGATTTCTCCTGCCTTTCCCATGGAAACAAGATCTTGGTAACCAAAGAGTTGATGAGGGAAAGTTGCACTTTATAGATTTCCAGCAAGTGCAGAAGGAATGACAGCAGTGGGACACTACCACTTTGTCCCCCCAAATGAAGGACTGGACCAAGGCAAGGTACTGGCACCTAACATCACCAGTGAGAGGCTAGCAGGAATCCCTTGTCTCCTGAAGGCACTGCCTGGGATGAGCTCTTGCCAAAAAAAATCCCTACACACATGGAGCTCAGGGTCTGGAGGGGAAAGAAACAGACGATCACAACCCAAACAAGCCTCTAGCTCTAAAAGATGATACACAGGGCAGAGTGGACCATGGGACACACAGATATCAGAGAGTGCATCAGCCAACTCCAAAATGTGGGAGACTCTACAGGACAAAACTGGTTTCCTCAACAAATAAATACAAGGAAGAAAGAGATTTGAAAAAAAAAATGCAGGGGAGGAGACTTGGAAGTTACATTGACCACATGCAATATATGAGTTGTGTTTGGATCCTAATTGGAACAAATTGAAATGAACAAGCCATTTATGAGACACAGGGGCAGATCTCAGCACTGAATGGATATTGGATAATATTAAGGAATTGGTATTCACTTTTAGGTATGCTAATGAGGTTATGTCTAATATCCTTATCTTTAGATAGAAGGATATATATAATAAAATATTTTTAGATAAAATGATCTGATGCTTGAAATTTGCTTCAAAATCCTCCAGGAGGGTGAGTAGGGGAAGAGGTGAGGCCAGAGATGACAAAGGTTACTGGGGACTGGGTGATGGGTCCGTGGGTGGAAGATGGGTGACAGGTACACATGGTTTCATTCTATTATTTTCTCTCTTGTATATGCTTTGCATTTTTTCATAGCAGAAGTTAAAAACAAAGAAAGACATTATCCTCACAGCATGAGGGCAATCACCACTCTTTCTGAGCAAAGGTCTTAGTATTATCTTCACAGCTTGGGGTACAAGCCTCCCCCCACCAGCAGGGCCTGCTGGCCCAGCCCCAAGGCCCCCACCCAAACCAGCCTCCAACCCAGGCTAACAGTGCTTTGGTGACATGCCTATAGAAAGGAGTCCAGCTTACCTGGAGCTGATGGACCAGCTTGGTGGCTTGTTCAGGTGTCTGAAATTCCTGGGGCACACTGGTGATGGGGTGGGGAGGGAGTGGGTCCTTTTCCAGGCAGGCTTCTCTGCTGCTCAGTAGCACTTCTTGCACTATCTCAGCAGGTGATTTGAAGATCAGTGGCCTGGCAAGGTCCTGAGGCTGCCTTCTCAAGTGCCTGGCCTTTGGGGGGCGGTAGCTCTCATCTTTAGGGAACCTAACCCGGGGTCCCACCTTGGAGAAATCAGGAAGCGGGTAGTTCAACTGCCCCCGGCCGTACTTGGGGGCATCAGAGGAAGAGTGGCCGGCAAGAGTGGCTCCCTGTCCAGACAGCAGCTTGTCCTGCCGGGCTAGCCTAGGTGGAGGATTTGGTGGGCTGTTGGAGCCAGTGAATCTGGAAGGGAGTGGCTTAGGTGATGCCCGTGTCCGCTTCCTGGCTGGGTCCCTGGGCTGAGGGCAGGAGATGCTGGTAGTATCTCTCCTCCATCTCTCTGCAGGACACTGGAGGGTCTGGGCTGGGGGTGCTGAGGAGTCCTGGAATTCCGTGGGGGTTGCCAGAGCAACGCTTCCTCTAGCTCTGGCGTTTGGGGTTAGGAGGTGGTGGCTGGGGCTTTGTGATAGAGTTTCTGCCAGGGCAGCAGGCTGGGTGACATTGGTCTCTCCTTCCCAGGTAAAATCAAGGCTGTCACTGGGGTGGTCAAGGCTCACAGTCCCACTGCTCCAGGACCTTGCAGAACTGAGGTCAACAGTTGGGTTGACCTTCGAATGTTCTGGAAGTTTGTCTCCACTGGCTTGTGTTTCAGAGGCCACCCAGCTTGTGGGCTGACCCCACTCCAGAGTCACGGGACTGGTGTTTCCGTTACCACCTGAGCTGAGACAAGTCTCATGCTCTAGCCTTGGGGAGTTCTCTACAGCTTCGTCAACCTCACGACACCCAAGGGCCTCATCTGGCTCCTCTTCAGTCATGTCCAGTGAAGGATCCTGCCTGGGGAGCCAGTTGAGAGGAAAGTTGGAACTTTCTGGGCTGTCCACATCCTCTGTTTCAAACTCTGGAAAGACAGGTTATTACTTAGTATATACGAGGTCCAGACTTTCTGTGTAATTACTACCTAAGCCATTTCACCCCTCTGGGATTTCATTTCCTCATTATGAGGTGATGGCAGAATCCCAGCAATCTCCCCACATGGTCAGGTACTTACCTAATGCCTCTTCTAGGTGCCTCAAGGTCCTCCAAACTTAATCCTCAAATCTGGTTGTTCCCTCAGTGTTTCTTGTTTTAGCAAATGGAAACACCATCCCATCCAGTTGCACAAGCCAGAAACTTAGGAGGCATCTTGCCATCTCTCTCCTCCTAATTCCGATAGTCCAACTGTCACTTGGTCCTGTCATGATTGCCTCCCCCAGAGCTCTCAAACTCTCCTACTGCCCTGAAGTCCAGCACCACCATCTCTGCCCAAGCCAACATCCACTCTTGCCTGGACTGCTGCAGTAGCCACCTAATCATCTCAATCCTCACCCTCATCTGAAAACTCACCAGTATCTTCCTGTTTTTCCCAGAATTGAGCTGAACTTATAATATTCTATTACAAGGTCCTCAGGTCCTTGTCCCATCTCCCATTAGCTCTCCTAATCCATCTCTCCCCATGGTCCCCCTCAGTCTCTCCCTGCATTAGTCACACCACAGCTTTCCTGCCACAGGGCCTTTGCATGTGCTGATCCCTCTGCCAGGATCTTTTCTCCCTCCTTTTGCCTAGTTAACTCTTGTTTGTCCTTCAGGCATTAGCTCAACCTTGACCTCATCAACAAAGTCTTCCCAGATCTCCCTCACGAGGTCAAATTCTCCCTTTTATACTTGCATAGGACTGAACATCCCTATTTTGAAATTCTTATTGCAGTGCATTTATGTGATTGTTCTATTAATATTTTTCTCCTCCACTACACTGTAAGCTCCACAAGGGCAAGGACACTCTCTGTTTTTGTTTACTATTGTATTTGTAAGGTGCTCAGTATTTGTTGACTGAATGGAAAAAAGGAAAGAAGGGAGGGAAAGAGAACAATAAATTATGCAAAGTTCTCAAAAAATGGATAGTTGTAATTATTACAGAGTAGGTACTTATGAAATGTTTATTCACCCATCTGTTCACCTATCCATCCACTCACACTCATCTATCCATCACCCACTCACCCATTGATCCAACCATTCATCCTTTCAATCATCTACCTACCTATCCATCCATCCACTCATCTATCCATCACCCACCCATTCCTCTATTCATACCTCAAGCCACCCATCCATCTATGCAACCATTTATCCATCTATCTACCTGTCCACTTACTCATCCATCACCCACTCATCAATCTATCCATCTACCTATCTACCTATACACTCAACCATCCATCACCCACTCATCCACCTATCCATCCATCCATCCATCCATCCATCCAACCACCCAGTCACACAACCATTACCTACCCACTCATTCATCCATCCATCTGTGCATCATCCATACAGTCAACATTTATTGAGCACCTACTCTGTCCTAGGCCCTATGTCTGGGGAAGATCCAAAGTTCCATGAGACACAGTCTGGTTACTGCCAAGCAAACACTCTCTCTCTTGCCAGAAGTACTTTTGCTATAGCCCTTGTATCACTCTCTGCTACCCGGTGCTCTTTCCCCTACCCTTGGCACCTCAACATCCTTCAGCTCCTTACAATCTCCTTCAGCAAGTCTCTCGTGTTGACAGCAGCACACGTGAAGCCCAGAGAGGTTAGGTAATTTGCCAAAGATCATGCAGTGGCTCAGAGCAGTCTTGGAGTTAAAAGCAAGGTCCCAGCCATGCAGGTGAGCCAGGCTCTGCTGCTGGGGGCTGCACAGTGTGGCTTTGGAGCTAGGGAGCCCTGGGTTCAATCCTGGCTCCAGGATCCCTCGCTGGGGGCCAGGGGCAAGTAGCTGACCCCTCTGGCAGTCTTTACTCAGACTGGAGGCTAGTCCCTCCTCCCTGGCCAAAGATAGTGAGGAGAGAAGGAGACACAACTTGTACCCTGCTCAGCCCTGCGCCTGGCACACCATAGGGGCACAGGACATGGCAGTAGCTGTTACAGCATAGCAGGGGGTGACTTCAGGAAGAGATGTCTCTGCCTTTGACCCCACTCACCTGAGGGCAAGCTTGGAGATGGCTCCTAAGCAGGTAGCTGTGGACAAACCCCACTTCAGGCAGACCTGGCATGAGGAACTTCAGGTCATGGCACAAACCATCATCAGCCTAATGGCTTCTCTACCATGCATGGGGGCCTGCCTGGTTCACGAAATCCTAAGACAGGGGTGTCTATCATATTCTGGGTATAATAGGTTCCATGTATTAAATACACGCTTGCTATTCTCAATGATATCATTACTCCCATTTCACTCAGAACCAGGTGGGGAAACCAAGATTCAGCGAGAAGGGACTTGCTGAGCCAAAAGAGGAATTTAGTCTAAGTTGGTCTCAACGCAAAGGAAACAGTGATTTCAGAAAACAAGTGACACCAACATTCTCATTGCTAATTGGGATTTTTAAAAAGTCTTAAAAATGGGCATAACCCCTGGACCAAGCAATTGAAATTACCAAGGTTATTTCAAATCAAGTGTGCAAAGATGTACTAATGACATTCATCTCTGCATTATTTATAATAGCAAAAGCTAGAAATGACTTAAATGCCCAGTTAAGAGACTGGCCCAACAAATTAAAGAATATCCACACCACAGAATTCCTAACATGGGCATTAGGAATGACTTGTGGAAGAATATTTGATGAGCTGGAAATGTTCATGTCTGCTCAGTCACAGCTTACCACATAGTTTGTGGAACGCTGTTCCCATTCCTATCCATTCGTATACATACCTATGGAAAAGAGTGGTTATCTAGGTAAGTTATTTTTAGTTTTTCTTTTTGCTAATATTTTGGTTTTTCTATCATGAACAGTAGTACTACTTAATGAAATTTAAATCTTTAAAGTTCTCAAATTATGGACTTCCTAGACTTTAATTTTAAAAGTTTCTAACACTCCCTCCGGCCAGAAGGCAGGGTGTTTGGGGGACGCCACGGCGGGGTTGGCAGAGTTGGTCTTACCCTCTCCCACAGACTCTCCTGATTCAGAATCCTGGAGCCCATCTGGCTGCGGGTCTGGGTCCCACTCCAGGGGCTGAAGGTGCTGCTGGGTCAGGCGGAAGTCCTCCAGGAGCTCAGGGCTGAGAGCTTTGGGAAAGGGCCCCTCTGCTCCCCAGCTGCACGTGCCACTCCCATCAGCACCCTTTTCTTCTTCAGCCCAGGCCCAGCACTGCCGCTGGGGCCCCTTGCCCAGGCCTGGCTCAGCCCAGTGGACTTCCATTCTGGAGCTGGCCATTGCGCCTGGCCTGCGTGTCACCTGGGCCACTTCATCTTCAGGAGCTGCAGCTGCCACTGTGTGCGCAGAGTCACTGCTGGCTCCTCTCAGAACCAGCCATCCTGCCTGAGGCCTGTCAGGGACACAATCCAGGGACAGTGTTAGTTCTCCAGTCCCCTCCTTTCTTCAGAACAGAAGTTGAACAGAACAGCAGGAACTCTGATATCAGACAGTGCTGCCTCAGCCCCTGGCCCCATGTCCTTGAAGCTGTGTGACCTTGGGCAAGTCACACCACCTTCATTTTCTCCATCAGTAAAACTGGGATAATGATTCCTCTTTCCCACAAGAGTTTTGTAAAATTACCTGAGAAACAGGGTACAGAGCCCAGGGGCCAGCACACGGGGTGTGTGATGTGTGCCATGTGCCAGGCTCCATGTGTGGGCACTGGGGCACAGGCCCTGCTTACTTGAGAACCCAGAGTCTAGGAGGAAGCTGTAAATGACCAGCAATGACACATCTGGGGAAGGAAGTGGGGAAGCTAGGGTCAGGCGTCCAGTGCAGGCCTCGGATGTCAGGGAGGGTGCAGCTTAGAGGTCACTGTCTCTGGGAACCTCCCCTGACTCCCCTTGGGTAAGAACTCAGATTGGGAGTAGGAAATGGTGAAAAGAGCATTCCAGGACCCAAAATAATTGCAAACAGGGACTCAAACAAATATGTGTACACACACACATTCACAGGAGCACTATTCACAAGAGCAAAAAGGTGGAAGCAATCTTTTGGTTCATCAGCAGATGAATGGATAAACAATGTGTGGTACGCACATACAGTGGGATAGTATTCAACCATGAAAGGGAATGACGTGTGGACATGTTAAAATAAGAACAAGCCTCAAAAACATTATTATGCGAAGTGAAAGAAGCCAGGCACAAAAAATCACATACAGTATGATTCCATCGATATGAAATATTCAGAATAGGTCAATCTGTAGAGAAAGAAAGCAGATTGCTGGTTATCAGTGGCTGGGGAGAGAGGGGTGGAGAGTGATTGCTTAATGGGTGCAGGTTTTCTTTTGGGATGATGAAAATATTTTGGAACTAACAGAGGTAGTTGAACAACATAAATATACTAAATGCCACTGAGTTGTTTATTTTAAAATGGTTAATTTTAATGTGACTTTCACCTAAATAAAAAAAAAAGAAAAGCATTTTTAGGCAGGTCACTAGTGAGTACAAAGGCCTGGAGGCAGGAGAAGGGACATGGAAGTGGTTTCCCGATGGTACTGGGGCAAGGGCTTGGTGCTGTGACAGCAGAGAATGTGGGCAAGGAGGGGTGGTGGCCAGGAGGGCTTCTCGATGCTATTCAGTGCATCTTGGGATGGACAGAGTACATCAGAATGCCACTGAGAAGTTCCTCTCTGGTGCCTGGTGAGAATGAACCAGAAAAGGGCAGCCTGGCTGCAGAGGCACCTGTGGAAGGAAAGGACAGTAGGAGAAGGGCCTCTCCCACCTCCCTTCTGTCCTCTCCTCCTTTCCCTCTTTCTCTTCTCATCTCCTTCTTTCCTGCTCTCCTGCTCTGACCAAGAGTCCCCAAACTGCTCCTCTATGTCATGCACTGTACTGAGCCCCTGAAACAATGCTGATGGAGCAGCATCATGTCCCACGCAGGAGCTCAGTGGGGCCTCCAGGTTAGTTCACACAAAACTCTGCAGGTGGGAAAACAGGGGTCCAGAGAGCGGAGGGGGCTTGCCCCAAGCCACATATCCATCAAGTCAAGGCTGGGGTGACAGGTCACCTTGTGGCCCAGGTCCAGCTCCTCCCTCCCTGCTGTGGAGTCAGTGGGGTTTAACTCCAGGCCTCCCGGGACAGACAGGTCTGTGTTTGTCCCTGCAGCCTCGTGAGCCCTTGGATCTTGGACAGAGCCTTGATTTGTATGGTTGAGAAAAGTCAACAAGCAGCTGTTTCTGCCTAGAAAACTCCCCAGGGAACAGCGCAGTCTGAGAAAGGCTGTGGCCTTTTAAGGGCTGGGGTAGGGACAGGGAAGAACCTCCTCCCCACTCAGGAGGCAACCCCTGCTCCTGTACAAGGGCTCAGGGAACTCATCCCCTGCTTGCCCTCCCCAGCACCCCATAGTCCTCTCTCCCCCCAAGAATTTTCTCCAGATCACCCTGGGAGTCTCCCATGACCCCCACCACTCGGGCTGTGCCCACTCTGTGCCGGCCCGGGCTAGAAGCTTTACCTTTATGTTCTCAATCTGCCATCTCCCTAAACAGGTAAGTAAGTCACAGGAAAACTGTTTTCCAGGTGAGAAACTGAAATTCAGCATGGAACAGTGACTTGGCTGAGGTCACTTGGCTGGTTAGTGACAAAGCAAGATTTGGAACTGTCAAATTTGGCCCAGTAGTGTCCAATTTTTTATCACACAGCTCATTAGAAAAATATATTCATTTGCATACCCAATACATGCATTTCTTATGACTTTATTTACATGCACCCTCATTCTAAAACATTACATGTATAAGAAAAAATACTTTCAAAAATGAATTTTTGAGAAGATGTGGTAGAAATAAATAGATAAAAATAAACAGAAGTTCTAATCCTTGTTTCCCATACCCTCTGGGGGGCCCACGCCCCTCTCAGAATCCCTGCCAGTGGGTCTTTACCTTTAGTTTTCTTAAGAATCTTCTAAGAATACAGACTCCTAGGTCAACACAAAGAGAGCCAGATGCAATGCCCTGGGAGAGGTCCCAGGAATCTGCATTTAAACCAGCGCCCCAGGCAAGGCCAGCTCCTTGATGCTGACTAGGCCTTCTCACTCCTGCTACTGGGGCAGGTGTGGGAGGTGCTAAGAGCCGTTGCTTTTCTCTTTCTGAAACCTCCACCGAGAAAGGGGCCAGGGGAGGTGTGTGGTTTTTTGACTTTTTAAAGGGCTTTTTTGTAGCCATGCCACAGAGCTGCCTGCCCAATCACAGAGGCCTGTGGGTGCACAAAGAGGAACATCCTGTCTCCTGGGATGACTCAGACATCACAGAGATCTCACTGTGACCAGGGGCTGCCACACATCAGAGGCAGCTGCAGTCACTAGAGTTTTGCACAAGCTCCCCAGACCCCAAAACCTGTGAGCCTTTCATAGGCAAGGCCTCCATCTTCCACTCAAGCCATGGCCCTCAGTGCCATGGAGCCTGGACTGGCCAGTCCGCCAGTCAGTCAACAAACACATGAGTGCCAACCACATGCCAACCTCAGGCTGCACCGAGGACACACGCTCACCAGGATGGGTATGCGGGGACCAGGCCCCAGGTACCTGTTAGGGCGGCCTGGGAGATGGCGGAGTGAACTTGGAGGCTCCTGGTTGACTCTGAGCTCCTGAGGGCAACAGCTTCAGAACTTAACTCCATCCTCCTCCTTAAGGTCCCACTTCAGTATAACAAAGACACACAGTTGACCCTTGAGTAATACGGGTTTGAACCCCACAGGTCCATTACATGTGATTTTTAAAATCAACACATTGGAACATTTTTTTGGAGATTTGGGATAATTTGAAAAAAAAATTCTCTTTTTTGCTAGCTTTTGTTACTGTAAGAATACAGTATATGACACGTATAACATACAAAATACGTGTTAATCGATTGTTGAGGTTGTCTGTAAGGCTTCCAGTCAACAGTAGGCTTTCAGTAGCTAATGGAGGGGGGTCAAAAGTTATACACTGGATTTTTGACTGTGTGGGGAGTTGAGCTGGCACCCCTACCCATGCACTGTGCAAGAATCAACTGTATATTGAACATCCAGTGGGTGCAAATCAACTAAAAAAACCTGTGATGACCTACTGTGTACCAAGCACTACACAAGACACAAGGAATACAGAAATGAGTAAAAGTGGTCCAAAATTTCAAGTAGGGGTACAATACAGAAGGATTATTGAGGAAGGATGCATTAAGCTGGGCTTGAGAAACAAAGAGGATTTGGGGGAGAAGATTAAGGGATGGCATTCCAGGCAGATGGAACAGCATAGGCAAAGGCACAGAGGTCCTCAAGTGTGAACAGACCTTGATGGAGAGCCTTGAGTGGCAGCCAAGGGCTGCTCTGGAGAGGCAGTGGGATTGGGTGAAGGCCCAAGTGGGTGAGCTGGGGGTAGGGCCTAGAAAACCCTGTTAGCATTAAATCCCTTCAAAGACTGGGCTATTGGGCCCAGGGTCCCTGTGAAACCTGGAGAAACCAGCCCCACAGGGAATTGCTAACCACTCCCCATTCTTTTTGTACATCTCCCCAACCCCCAGCCACCCCTGAACCTGGGTCTCTCAAAAGTCTATGAGACTAGTGCAGTCTTTTTCCAGTTCCCAAGTGGGTCAGCCACCTCCACAGGGTTTCTCTGGCCCCTCAGCTTCTCCAAAACTGAGGACCCTACCCTTTTATGGCTCCCCGTCCTGGGTCCTCCTCTGCCAGCTGCAGCCACGCAGCCCACCTCTGCCTCTCCATGCCTTCTAAAAGCCCCCTCCCATCCAGCCAGGGCTGTCCAGGCTGCCCCCCTTCTCCCACCCCACCCCTGCATCTCCTAGATGAGAAAACTGAGTTGCAGAGAGGTGGCTGGTCCTCATAAGACTTGGCAGCCAGGAAGTACAGCCCAGGGATTCAAACCCTGAGGTCTGTGGGGCCTATGACTCAGTCTAAGTCCATCATTATGGAAGGTGGGATGAGAAAAGAGAGGAAGACTCCCTAATATTAAGTAGCTGGACTGCTCCAAAAAGGTTGGGCTGTTGGGCTCAGAACCCCAAACTCGGCTGCCCTCCTGACCAGGCAGGGCACAGTCCTGCTGTTCTCAAGGGGTTCGCTCGAGCCATGCAGAAACTAGTCCCTGGAGGAAGCACCAGCCACCAACCCCCTCCAGAAATACCCCCTCTAGCCCCCAGCTCTTTCGAGCAGAAGAGGCCAAAGAGAAAACGGGAAGGGGCCTTGCCTGCTTGGGACTCCGGTCCCGCCAGCCTGAAGGGCTGAGCTAGGTCTGCTGGACCAGCCGTGGCTCCTCGCCTTGCCCTTACACATGGCAGAAGGAGCCACTCTTTAGTGGGGACCCTCTGCTGCCTCCTGGCCTACTTCTCATCCATTTATCATCTCTGAAGCCCCTTAGCAGCCTGCAAGA